TTCAATACGACATATATATATATATATATATATAAATTTATTTAGAATGATATTTTTCAACGATTAATACCTCGTTTGGATGGTAGTGCTGTAAAAAAATCGAAAACTACATCTCATAAAAAACAATTGAATCTTTTTGAAAAAATTAAAATTTTATGGTCAGCACCAATAACAAAATTTTATACAAATTTTGTTTGTTATATTGCATTTTTATGTTTTTTTACATTGGCTGTTATATGGCCATCATGTGGAAATTTACGACTTGATTTCTTTGTTTGGTTTTGCGCAGCATCAATTACTTTTGAAAATATGCGTGTTACTTATGAAAAATATTGTGTAAGAGTCTTTGTACAACAAAAAGAAACCTGAAAAGATTTAATATTCTGAAATTTTAGTCTCGAAGTAGTTTACCTTTACGACGATCTATATTAGAAATTATCGTACAAATTATATTTCTGGCACTTTTTCTTGGTTTTAGAATAGTTGGTTTATGGCATTTTGGAAGTAACAGAATAGATAAAAACTATAATTGATTTTTTTTTTGTTCTTTTTTTGTAAATAGCTTGTCAAATTGTAGCATCAAAAGCAATCTTAGGTGTTGGATTAATTTATTATTATTATCGATTATTATTTATTTTTTTACCGATCAATTCAAAACTTGGCCCGTTGATGATTCGACTTCGATATATGGTAATTTAACTATTAATTTGTTTTTTTTTGCTGGTTTTTCTGAGAATATCATTATAGATCACGGATGATTTTTTTACATTTTTACAATTATTTTTAATATTTATGATATCATCTGGTGTTGCAATAACAGCTGTAGTTTATCCACATCACTCACTTAATTTAGATTTATTTTCAAAAGCTTTTCTATCTCGTGGTTTCATGGCATTATTTTCTAGTGATATGGCTGATTTAAAACAACAACAACGTGGACCATGTTCAATAAATGCAACAATTCAAACGGAAAGAGAATATGCTTGTCTAAGATTATCTAATGGTCCTTCATTTAAATGTAATAATAATATTTTGTTTTGTTTTAATAAACAAAACAAAAAACACTTTTCTTTTTTGGTTCAAGATGATAATCCTGATGCATATGAACAATATGGAATACCATCACGAAATTGCAATCAAACATCATGGATAGCATGGTTTTTACTTATACAATATTTCTTTTTAGCTAAACGTTTTCTTACATCACTTTTAGTAGCAATGTTTGGGTATATTAATTTAGATCAAGTCAGATAACTGAATTGTTTTGTTTTGTTTTTTTTTGTTAAATTAGTTTAACTGGAGCAAGAGTACAAAGCCAATCTCAGCAAATTTGGTTGTATAATCGATATGAAATTCTCATGGAATATGCTAAACGACCATGTTTACCTCCACCTTTTATTGTTATTTCTTATATCAGTAAGACGATTGGAAATATTTTCTGAAGGAAAGAACAGTCAAATTTTTATTTAGAGAGAGATGATTTTAAAGTGTTTAGTAGTCACACTCATGAAAGAGTTACTTGAGTTGTTGCTCACCATTTGACTTCATCCTGGAAGTTTTAACCAAAAAAAAAACCCAATGTTTCTTTGTTGAGAAGTTGACAATTTTCATGACTTGTTCGAAATTTAATACTTCAATAAACAAAACATTATTTTTGGCTAAAACTTCCATGATATTTTTAAGCATCATAAATCTATCTATGAGCTGAATTTCATAAATTTCAATGAAACATATAAATCTTTTTCTTTTTACAATAGTTATGTTAATAACAAGTTGTAGTTCTCGATGTTTGCTAAAATTAAAAGAACATATTGATAAGAAAAATTATTCTACAATTCAGACTCTTACACAATCAATTCCAACAGGTACAAATATTTACTATACTAAAAAAAACAAAAAATCGAAATTTCATTATTCGATTTATTTCAATAGCAAAAAATAATGATGCTAAAACAGATGAATTTAAGAATACATCAAATGAAGTAATTCAAAATCGTTCAATATTTCAACGTTTATTTAGTTGTGAACCATGTCAAAAAGTTATAGAAAATCACAAAAATAAAATTGTATGTAGAATAAATATTTACTTTTATATTTGATTATTGAATATGATTTATTCTAGAATGCAGATAAACATAATTGGAAAAATGATGAAACTAATGTATATTGGAAATATCAAGCTAAAGAATTTTATGCTAAAACACAAGAAGCTGATAAAGTACAAGAAAAAAGTAAAAATTTATCTAAACGGTAAAAATAAAAAATTTTTTTGGTTTTTCATTTTTCATAAAACAATTCATTTTAGTACAATAAATATGCAAAAAGATATTGATATACTACGAAAATCTTTACGACACGTCAGTGATCGTGTTCTTACATCAGAAAAAATACTGATTGATTCACAAATATTACTTGAAAAAATTCATTCAATAATTAAACAAGAAGATAAATCATTACCCATATATCCAAAATTTATTCATATGTTATCAAGAGAATCACCGTATATTTATACAAATGAAGCACGATTTCCAATTACAGAAAGACATATTCCTTGGAAGGTTATTTTCTTTTTTTTGTTTTTGAAATAAATTTAATAGAAATTTGAAATTTTTAGGTTTCATTTGATTTATATGATCCAACAGTAATTTCATTACCAAAACAACATGATTGTTTTCAAGACCCCGAACGACTATTTGTTGAACCCGATTTGTAAGTTTGGATCTTTTTTCTTTAATTAAACTTCGATTATATTTGAATCGAATTTATTTAGAGCTATTGAACCATCAGTGACAACAATGACTGATATTACTACTCTATTAATAGATTATAAATGGAATCAAGTTGTTGAATCGCAACTACCCGATGGAAAAAAAGTTTTTCATTCTGTTGTTTTTTGCCAAATAGAATCATCGAATTTATATTTTTAGATCATTATTGATCGAACAACCTGGATTGTAACTTCTGAAGATAAAACATCTTCATTCTATAGATTAGATAATCAACTATCAATACCTTTGTATATAAATATATGAAATCCTATATGTAGATTTATATTTTATATTTCTATAGAAATCCTATGGGTCGTACAGGTGTACGTGGTCGTGGTGCATTAATTCGATGGGGACCAAATAAATCTATTATAGCTGTAATAACACGATGGAAAAAACATCATGATCAATTTACTGTTATTGATGGACAAAGAATTTTAGAAACCTTAGTGTTTAAAGATAAATATACAAATGATTGGAAATTACCTGAAGTATTTTTAATTTTTCTTTTCGAATCAAACTTCTTTTCTCTTTTGTTTTTAAGGCAAAAATTTTAGGTATCGAATCTCGATATGGTGCTATATGTCGTAGTTTTCATGAGCTTGCTTTTAAAGATAATGATTCTGAACATAGTTTTTCATTTGAAGGAAATGATATGATTAAAGTAAAATCTTATTGTTGAGTTTCTTTGATATTTAACTAAAATAGATTCATATTTAGTATTTTGAATCATTTGCTCGTGTTTCTATTTCTACTTTTGAAACAACTGGATTTGAATCTCATATGGCCTATCAAGGTAATTCAAATAGGTTTTCTTTTTTTTTATTGTTTTAGTTAAAATTATTATTATTTTAGGATATATTGATGATCTACGTAATACAGATAATGCTTGGGTAGAAACAGAAATATGGAATTTTCATTACGATTCAAACATACCATTTCCTAATTTACGTCAAGATGTATGTTTATTGTTTTCAATCTAAAATGAAATGATTATTTTTTATAATGTATTTATTTAGGGTGTGGCAATATGGAAAGATGTGACGAATAATTTTCGAGATTTTCTTATTCAAACATCCATTCTACGTGAAATAACTCGAATTCATCAGGCTTTTTTTAAGTGATTAACAATAATAATAACAATACATCTGATGTGACATTTAGAACGTTATTCATTCATATATTTACTCCATAAAATAATATCAATGCATTCTCTCTCTCTCTCTCGCTATTTGTGTAAATGATGATCTTTTACTGCTTTTTATTCGCTTTTCTTTATTTGTCAGTGTGATAAAACTCACTTATTTCGAGCTAACAAGGAAAGATATCCAAGTGTGACGAATCCTTTTGAATCGAATGCATACCAGTTTGAACAGCTCGATGAGATGATTCTTGTGGCATAAAGCGTTCTTCCCATGGGACCTTTAACTAAACAAAACCAATCAATTCTACTCATAGGAAATCACACTCGAGACACTGAACATTGAAGCTTTATATGCATTAGCAGAGCAGAGACGAATAGACTAAAAATTACCTAATGATGCCTTAATTTTTATATTACAATGTTGGGTGTGGGTGTTCTATTCTTTAAAACTCACACCCAGATATCAAGAAAAAGATGATTTACTTATAAAGTAATTAATGATATTCATCTTCGGAAAATGAAATCGAGAAAAAAAAGAAAAGATTACATCAACACATTAAAAGTGCAAAAGGAGAACTTTTTGAAAAATACTGTGTACGGAAATAAGTAATTAATATTTCATCAATTATACTATCGAATACAATGAAATGAGTTTATTTGCGAAGCATTTTGAAGAGAAATTAGATTAGCTTAAGCAGAGCACTGAGGAAAACGAGTATAATAGAATAAACTTCCAATTATATTGAACTATTGATTTCTGGAACAATGATCATTGGTTCCCAACTTGTAATTATCAATTGTTGACTTGTTATTTTTGTTTTAGTTAGATATTCAATAGAATTTTTTATATCAATTCTTGGTATTTCAACTATTTTTGTTGTATTAAATCTTTGATTTGAAACAACAATAAGTACCGGATTTTTGTAGTATATATAAGTTGAGTTGTCAACATAAATAGTTTGTTGATGTACTGAAAAGTATTGTAGATATTTTGCTTTTAATATTGCACGGAGTGAATTTTTTTGTTTGATAAATTGATAGATCCAATGTGATTGAGAATAATTACTGATCCAAAGTGGTTCACAATTCTATGGTTCTCCTAAATGTAAAGTTTGATTTGAATTATTACCAATAAAACCTTGTTCAATGCCATAATATAGAATAGGAATACCATCGCTAAACATTAAATAAATAAGAGCATTTCGAATTAATACTTCATTCTTTGTTTGGTTTAAAAATCGTGGTAGATCATGATTATCCAAAAATATGTCACACAATGTTGTATCATTAAAAGATTCGTTATTTACCTTAACTTGTTGAGCAAGTTTTTCCATAGATTGTGGATTTTGATCTCGAAATACGTCCATAAGGATATAATAGAGTGGGTAATGGAGGACACCATCAGCATATCCCTGACAAGCTCCAACATAAGCCGTTGAATTACTGGCACCTTCACCTATTGAATAAACTTGTGAAGCGTTTGTAAAATTAGTCCAAAATTCCTTTCGAATATGACGAAATGCATCGAGTCGGATGCTATGAAAGTCATAGTGATGGGTAATATTTGCAATCCATTGATTTAAAGTGTCAATAACGTAAGGCAGTTCAGTATTCAAGTCGGATAATAGTGGCTCGTTTTCTCCAAGCCAGCATAGTTCCACTTGAGTTTGATTAGAATAATCCTTGATTTTGCATCAATTATGATAATGAGCATCTTCATTGAATGGCACATAATTATTTAAACTGCTGATATCCGGTCCCATATGATTTGCTACAACATCTAACATGATCCAAATATCGAGCTCATGAGCAGTCCCTATTAGTTCGTGAAGATCATCAGCAGTACCGAAATGGGCATTTAAGTCATAAATATTTTTTTGCCAATAGCCATGGTAGGCCGTACCAGATTCTGTATCACCTTCAATTTGAGCTGTAATTGGAGAAATCTATATGGCATCGAAACCTAATTCTTTTATATAGTCGAGATGAGCAATAAGTCCTTTATAGGTTCCACCACAATAGCGGTTTCGACCACAGATTGATAGAGGAGTGTTTTGGTATTTTTTATTTTCTTGGATGATATCGGGTGTCTGAGCATATCGGTCTGTAAGCAACTGATAAATGGTTCGAGAACACCATTCAGCCGCTGTTTTTGCCTCGAGTTGAAAGAAAACCGATACCAGACTAAATATAAGATTAATGATATACATTCGATTTCTGATCAAGTACAAAGCTCAAAGAAAACTGGTGTAATCTCACTACTTAAAAGTCAGTGTTTGAGAGATAAATTACAAGCAAAACTGAGCTAACACGACTGATTTTCTCTACAAATATCAATTATTACTATCAGAATTTTAAAAGAAGGCACCTGGAAAAAAAAGCTTATATCTTTCGAACGAAAAGTCATAGCGACCTGCGGTTTTCAGCAATCGATAGAAGATTATAGG